AGGGGCATGTTTGAGGGAGGAGGGATGAGTGATGAGGGAGGAAGGGGGAGGGAGGAGAGATGTGGGAGGCGGGAGTAGGGAGGAGAAGGAGGAGGAGGGAGGGAGGGGGGGAGGTGGGATGAGGTACGGAGGGGGGAGTAGGGAGGAGGGTGCAGGGAGGATGGAGAATGAAGGAGGCAGGAGGGATGAGGAGCGAGGAGGAGGGAGGAGGGAGGATGGATGAGGCAGGAGGGAGGAGGGAGGGATGGATGGATGGATGGAGGGGGGGAAGGAGGGAGGAAAGAGGATGATGATAACGATGATGCTGCTGATGATGTTGGTGATGCTGATGCTGATGATGCTGCTGCTGCTGCTGCTGATGATGATGATGATGATGATGATGATGATGATGATGATGATGATGATGATGATGATGATGATGATGATGATGATGATGATGCTGTGGAGGAGGAGGAGGAGGAGGAGGAGGAGGAGGAAGGAGGAGGCAGGAGGAGGAGGGGAGGAGGAGGATGGCAAGGAGGGAGGAGGCCGGAAGAGGCGGAGGAGGAGGAGGAGGAGGAGGACGATGTGGAGGAGGAGGAGGGGGCGGAGGAGCCAGGAGGCGAGGAGGAGGAGGAGGGCGGAGGAGCGGAGGGAGGAGTGAGGAGGGTAGGGGTGAGGAGGGGAGGCGGGAGGATTACGGAAGAGAGGTGACGAGACGGAGAAGAGGAGGCAGGGGAGGAAGGGAGAAGAAGGATATGAGGGAGGATAATGGAGAAGGAAGGGAGTAAGGAATAGGGAAGTGTGAAGATGATAGGGCGAACGGAGAGGAGGATGAGGAGGGAGGAGGAGGCGGAGGAGGAGGTGAGGAGGAGGAGGAGGAGGAGCAGGACGAGGAGGATCAGGAGGAGGAGGAAGAGGAGACGGAGGAGGAGGAGGAGGCAGGAATCAGACACAATAAAACGAATACTACTCATAACATTACTAAGAACAAGACAACTAAGACGACGAACACTACTAGCAATACTAATAACAAAACGAAGGAGGAGGAGGAGGAAGAGAAAGCGGAGACGGAGGAGGAGGAGGAGGAGGAGGAGGAGGAGGAGGAGGAAAAGGACGTGACGGAGGAGGAGGAGGAGGAGGAAGAAGAGGGCACGGAGGACAAGGAGGAGGACGTGGAGGAGGAGGAAGAGGAGGAGTAGGACCAGTGCAAACCCAAGCGTCATCAACGATGCTGGAGTAAACCCTCCCTCCAAGCTTTCTCTTCATAGGTCCCTACAACGGTTCATCTCTATTGACGGAATTGCCTCGTTGGAAGACACTCGTTTGAAGACCCAGAACACGCCAAAACATTGTTCTCGGGATTTCAACGCTACGGATCCAACTGATTGTTGCGTCATGACGATCCTGAACCGTGTCAGAACGCAATTCCTAGGACTTCAACCAAGAGAACCAACGTAATTGTTGCACCCGCATAATCCTGAACCCTTCAAAAACAATTTTTCTGGTACGTTGATGATGGGAATCCGTGAAACCCTTGCAAGTATTCAAAACGACTGGTGCGCGGCGCTAAGGCGAGAGCCACATGTTTTAAAAGAGCCGCACTCCATATCTGAAACTCGGGCAATTTGTTTAACAAGGATGTGCTCCGCGCTAAGGTGAGAGCCACATTTTGAAAACGACCCGACCTCAATCCGTACAACTCTTGAATTATTTAATCGCTTCGCTCATTCCGCCAGCCCTGGAGCTCTTGGGGGCCTCTTGGGGACCTCTTGGGAGTCTCTTGGGGCTCCTTGGCGGCGTCTTGGGGGCGGGGCTCTCGGGGGCCTCTTGGGGCGGGAGGGGGGTAGTCGATTGCGGCCCCCACCTCGGAGGCCACGATCCTCGTGAGGGGTGTCGAAAAATTGCCCGGTCCGGCATCTCTGACCCGGACCTGCCGGGACCTTGCCGGGACCTTGCCGGGGTGCTTTCCGCCCGGAGACCCCAGGGGCCGCCCCGCGCGTGCGCGAAGTAGAATATTGTTAAGCAGTTACTGGAGATCTTAGCACGCCTCTGGCCCGCCGGGCCAGCGAATTTAACAAGAAGGTGCGCCGCGCTAAAGCGAGAGCCAAATTTTGAAAACGACCCGCCCTCAATCCGTGCAACTCTTGCAAGTTTTAACAAGAATGTGCGCCGCGCTAAGGCGAGAGCCACATTCTGAAAACGACCCGCCCTCCATTCGTGAAACACTTGCAAATTCTTAAAACGAATGTGCGCCGCGCTGAGGCGAGAGCCACATTTTGAAAACCACCCGCCCCCCATCTGTGAAACTGTTGCCAATTTCCAAGCTTTAGAGCCATACATGGTGAGGAAATATCACGCGAAACGCCCAGCCCGTCCTAAACATTGGCCCCAGGTTGCGACAGGGAGAAGTTATGTATCAGGAAAAGGAATGCAGGAGAAGGAGATTGAGGAGGAGGGGGAGGAGGAGGAAGAAGAAAAGAAGGAAGAGGAGGACGAGGATGATGATGAGGAGAAGGAGGAAGACGAGCAAGGGGAGGACGAGGAGGAGGAAGATGAGGAAGATGATGATGATGATGAGGATGAGGGGGAGGTGGAGGTGATAGGAGGAGGTGAGAGAAGAGGAGGAGGAGGAGGTTAGAGGAGGAGGCGGAGGAATAATAATCACAACATTAGTAATGCTGATCCTAATGCAGATAAAAGTCATACTAGTATTAATAATCATCATAAAACGAGAAGAAGCAGAGAAGGAGGAGGAGGAGGAGGAGGACGAGGATGCGGAGGAGGAGGCGGAGGAGGAGGCGGAAGCGGAGGCGGAGGCGGAGGATGAATACTAGGAGGTGGAGGAGGAGGATGAGGAGGAGGAGAAGAAGGAGGAGGAGGAGGAGGAAGAGGAGGAGGAGGGGGGAGGAGAGGGGGGATGATGAGGAGGAGGAGGAGGATGAAGAGGAGGAGGAGGAGGAGGAGTAGTAGTAGGAGGAGGAAGCATCATAAGAATAAGAAAGACACATCAATAGTAGTACTAATAACAATAACACTATTAATACTGATATGAGTCATAAGACGAAGACCAACAATACTACGGATACTGATACTCTGAAGAAGAAACATCAGAAACAACAGGGGGGGGACAATCAGGAGGAACAGGGGGGGAAGGAGGAGGAGGAGGAGGAGGAGGAGGAGGAGGAGGAGGAAGGGGACAAGGAGGAGGACAAGGAGGAGGATAACAAGGATGATGATGATGCTGATGATGATGATGATGATGATGATGATGATGAGGAGGAGGAGGAGGAGGAGGAGAAAGAAGACGGGGGATGAGGAACATGATGATGCTGATGCTGTTGCTGCGGATGATGATGGCAATGGAGAAGAGGATGATGATGAGGATGATGACGGTGACGATGATGATGCTGATGCTGATGCTGATGATGATGCTGGTGGTATGATGCTGATGGTATGATGATGATGCCGCTGATGATGATGCTGATGATGATGACGAGGAGAAGGAGGGGAAGGAGGGGGAGGAGGATGACTAACACTAGCCAGGTGCTGGCTTCAGCAATGGCCACTGCGAGGGCGCGAAGTTATTCGCGGCTTGCGACTTGCGGTTCTTCACTTTCATCCTTCTCATCCTCCTCTCCTCCATCGGGGGCTGCGGCGCGAGATCGTAAAGTTCTTCGTGCTTCGCACAGCGCGACGTGTGAAGTAGAGCTGCCCTTGCTTCAGGCATGTCGCCCCTGGCAGGCGGGGGCCGGCGCATTTCAGACATGGAGCGTCGCAGGCAATTACGCCCTGATCTCGTCGCAGCACAACCTGAGCTTCTTCAGGAGACCTCCAGCCCGCGGACTCTCTGGCCCCGATCTTCGCCTCCGCCTCCGCTTTACGCGAGCCCTTCGGCCTGCTCTCCCCTCCCCCGTCTGGCGCTTCCTGCTTCCTTCTCCGTCCTTCTCCTCGCCTTTCTTTCTGCCTCGTCTTTCCCCCATCCTCCCTCTTATTCCCCATCCTCTCGCATCCTCCTTGCCACTCCTCATCGCTACTCCTTCCTTTCTCTCTCCCCGCCCCCCCGCGCTCAGCTGACGCTCGATCCCTCCCTCCCCTCCCCCCTTCTCATGCGTCCTCCTCGCTCCTCACTGTGCCCGTTCCTATCCCTTCTTCCTCCTCCCTTCCCTGCCCCCTTCCTCCTCCCTCCTCGCTCACCCTCTGCGCTCCTCCTTCTCTCTCCTGCTTCCCCCTCCTCCTCGCTCCTCGCCGCTCCCCATAATTACTTTTCCCTGTCTCCTTCTCCCGCCCGATTTAACATTTATGCCCCTGGTATTACAGCGTGGGGATCCTAATGTTCGGAGTCCAGGGAGGACAGTAGCCTTTGTCCCAGCAGGCCGCAGCATAAAGGACGTTGAGGAGAAGGATGAGAATGTTGATGCTGATGTTGATGATGATGATGAGGAGGAGAAGGAGGAGGACCAGGAGGAGGGAGAGGGGAAGGGATGGAGGAGCGGATAGCCGTAGTATGTAGTAACTAGTAGTAGTAGTAGTAGTAGTAGTAGTAGTAGTAGTAGTAGTAGTAGTAGTAGTAGTAGTAGTAGTAGTAGTATTAGTAGTAGTAGTAGTAGTAGTAGTAGTAGTAGTAGTAGTAGTAGTAGTAGTAGTAGTAGCAGTAGCAGCAGTAGCAGTAGCAGTAGCAGTAGCAGTAGCAGTAGTTGTAGTTGTAGTTGTAGTTGTAGGGGAGGGAGGAAGGAGGAGGGAGGAGGGAGGGAGGAGGATGAGAGGAGGGATTTCGATGAAATACAAAGTTGCGAACCTATCAAATTCCTTTAAAAACCTATCAATTCAGAATGGTTTCCAAGTCCTCTTGTCGATCGTGAACCTCAGAGATAAAAGCGAGTTTGCCTTTGGGGGGGAGGGAAGTTAGTAGTCGTAGTCGTAGTAGTCTTGAGAATGAGACTAACAGGGGTGATGTAATAGTACTAGTCGTAGTCGTAGTCGTCGTCGTCGTCGTAGTAGTAGGAGAAGTAGTAGTAGTA